TTAAAACTAAAGAAGTGTATAAAATTAAGTAAAATACAGAAGTCTTTCTGTCTCCCTAGTATAGAATAGTGAGTTTTTCTTCTATGAGTATTAATTGAGATAGTGATAAAATAAGTCAAAGATGACAGAGTTCCAGAAAAAAAATGAAATTTCTAAATAATATAAATAGCTATATAACAGCATATGGATTAACTCTGTCTTTCCCATTTGCCAAATCTTCTTATTGCCAATAACCATTGCAACCCACATTGGGTGAGTGTTTCCTACAAAGCCATGGCTGTACATATTTGTTTCCCAAATAATATGATAACTTGTTCAAAGAAAACAAAACTAAATCATCTTGTAACCTGACCTTTGTTTATAAATTAATGTATGTTAAAGAAAGATAACTACAAATATTTTTTGCCTAACCTGTTTTTTACCAAGAAGCAATCTTCCTGCCAAAGGTGGGTATGAGATATAGGGTTAAGGGAATTGGATAATGCAAGCAAATGGGAAAGACATAAATTTACTTATAAACGATAAACATTACCGTTTGACTAGAACATAGAGTACATTTTGAGGGAGTACTGCGAAACGAAAGAAGAATAAGCAAGTGTGATTTACTTTATTTACAAGGGTGTCTAAAAGAATATGTGTTGAGATTTAACTATTTTTTATAATATTTATTTTTGAGACACAGAGAGGGAGGGGGAGAGCAGCGAGAGAGGGGGACAGAGGATCTGAAATGGACTCTACGCTGACAGCAGAGAGCTGAGTGGGGCTCAAACTCATTAACTACGAGATCATGACCTGAGCGGAAGTTGGAAGCTCAACCAGCTGAGCCACCCAGGAGCCCAGAATTTAACTATTTTAAGTGTTTATGGTGCACTCACTAAAGAAACTAAAAATACATTAAAGTTTACTTTTGTGACGTGAAGAGCAACTAGCAATCTACTTAATTTTAAGTTCATTGATTTGTACAGTTTTTTTCTCAAATCTTGGTATAACTCTAACTAGGAATGTTTTATCATGAAAACAAAAGACTTGAAAAATCTTTATTCCCATTAGGTACCTGCTTAGAGAATAAGTTCACAAGTCTCAGCAATAAAGGAGGGTTTAATTTAAATATTCTCCTAAATTACTCAATTAAATGGAAATATCTCACAGATACCTCTAAACAAAATAGTTTAAATACTATAACGTGTTTTCATTCAAAATTTGATCAGGAGGCAAAAAGGCTTTCCTGCATCAGTGTTGAATATATTAAATACATATACAAAATTTATAAAGAAAAGTCCTATACACATTGATCATCATTTTGGTGGCACATCAGTTGGTAATAATATGGTATCAATACTTTAATTCATACTTAACTGGAGAATTTTAAAACAGATGTAAATTCTATGGGAAAGCGCTGCCAGTGACTATTACAAACATTGTAATTTAGTTGATATTTTAATATGATCTTGTTATTCTCAGATCTCACCATCTAAAATGTCAAGAAAAAGAAAACAGTTTAAGTTGCAGCTGGAGAAAATGAAGTAACAAAAAATAAAATATACAGGGTTTTATTCCAGTTAAGAAATTAATAGCGATAAGCAAAAAAGTTACGAGAATTCCTCCCTGGAGATGTTTAAGAGCAAGATAAATGTCCATCTGCCTAGAATAGTATTCATGTGGCTTGCCTGAAGGAAGAGGAATAAGATCTGCTAATTTGCAAAATTTCCACAGCATCAGTTTCATATTGTCAAGATGCCGCCATGAGCATATTTAGCCAATCCACAAGATTAAACTAAGTGCTTCCAGTGAAAATCTTCTGTTAACTGGAATTTGCTCTGAATAAGGCCTGAATGTGGTAAATCCAATAAACCTGTTACAGTGCATCAGACTGGGCACTTAGACAGCCCTATACAAAATATCATTGTTAACATCGTAATGCAGCTAAGGGACATATTCCTTCAGTCTAGCCTTCTTGTTTCTCTTTTACTGTCTGAATGACTTAGAACAGTAGCCATCCACCATGCAGGACTGTCCAAATTGTAAATGCATACAGTGGAATGATAAAAAGGACAAAGTACTATACCTGTCTTTCCCATGCTGAATATCAATAATATTAATATTAATACTTCTGGGCTTTTATGGAGTCATTATTTGATGACCGATATTTGCCTTTAATAATAATATGAATTAAAATTTACCCTCAGCTCTAACATATTTTACCAGGCATCTTTCTTAACTTTTAACGATAAAACTAATCTTCATAAAAAGCCCCCTGAACCTGGACTTTTTTTTTTAACAATGTGGTTTGAACTATGTCTTAATTATAGAAACATGTCTTTTAACTGTAAAATTCTATTAAATTGTAGCTATGATTCTGATTAATTAAATAAAGCTAGAAGTGCATTGTGGTATTTCAGTGTTGCTCTCACGGCCTTTGACACCGTTGCATGGAAGGCAGTGAGGATTGTGGAAATCAATTCTAACTTTGCATAGTTTCTTTAATAAATTCTAACTTCCTCAATCCACCCTTATCTGCTGTTACTCACCAACACGTAACATAAATCAACATCCTTGAAGATTCCTTTAGATTTTCTTTCAGAAACTGTTTCCTACAGATTTCCCTGATGACCTCAAGCAATATTTCTTATCTCTCTCTTTGCCTGGCACCTACAGCACATTGTATCTTGTTTTTAAATCAGGGTCTTGTGTATATTTAGTGCTTTCTGCTATATTTTCCTTTTCCACTTATTAGCCCCATGGTTAATGGACCCAGAATAGACACAAACCTGTCTTACCCATGCCCAATACTGCAAATTACTTCATGTTCTTCTTTCCTGTATTTTTGCTATCCCTTTTTAAGGGCCAACTTCTAGAAGTTGATTAGTGAATACTTACAGAATGAAATGATACACTCTATATTACAGCATTTTACCAAAAGGTCTTTCACGTATCTTCTTTCCCTAATAACCACAACAAACCCAAGCAATTATCATATTCACTTTACAAAAGTAAAACTAAGACTCAGTGGAGTTTGCCAATTTGTCATGTCTAAAAACATGGCAGTTATTATGTATATAATGCACATGGGGGATAAAAGTGTTTCAAAATCCTGTTAAATCAATATAGCACAATGGCTAAGATTTCGCTTTCTTTTTTATGTCTGAATTTTTAAAACCACAGTCTTTAAAAAGGATAAATGAAGAGGACATAAGAAGGAATCCCATGATGACTGGTATCCCATTCCCAAATGCATCCTTAAATATGGACTATAGGTTACTTATACACGTGAATTCCCTGAATATCTTTACTAAGAAGATTAAAAGCCACCTGTTTTAAGGATTTAGAGATAATGCTATTGTAGGATTGCTAGTGGCATTCCCAGAGGGTGGTCAACTGTAGTCATGACTATCCTTTTAAGTGACATATAGGCAACCTGAGTAGGTGCTATATTGGGATCTTTATAGGATCAGACACAGTATACAAAGTATACAGTACACAGAGTATACAAAGTTAGTTTTGAACATCTTACATCACAGAATCTCCCTGAAGACTTCCCCACGGTCTAGCAAGAAAAGATAAAAAGAAAGCAAATAAAATCCCCTTCACATGTAAACATCCATGAAAACCTAGGGCCAGAATTTCAATGGTTCTGAAGTTTATATCTAGAAGCTTGTATTTTTCTGTCCATACCTGTACATCTAGAAAGTACAAATTTAAAAAAAAAAATTTTTTAATGGTTATTTATTATTGAGAGACAGAGTGTGAACAGGGGAGGGGCAGAGAGAGAGGGAGACACAGAATCGGAAGCAGGCTCCAGGCTCTGAGCTGTCAGCATAGAGCCCAACGCGGGCCTCAAACTCACAAACCGCAAGATCGTGACCTGAGCCAAAGTCAGACGCTTAACCGACTGAGCCACCCAGGTGCCCCTAGAAAGTACAAATTTTAAACAAAAAACATTTATGTGGAAGAGAAGATGTAGAGGCCAAAACTTGAAGCTTTATAAACAGTCCTCCTCTTTGATGACAGAAAACACCTGTCTCACTTTCCCTACTGGAAAAGTAGTGTTGTAACCCACCATGGAGAATGCCGAATATAAGTTAATTCTTGAAAAGTGCCGGAGCTGTTTATCACTAGCTAAGAAATATTGAATTCCTGTTAGTTAATCTCAGCACATAGGGGCTTTTTCCCCACTACATTCCAAACTCATGTAAAAGCTAAGGACAACATTTAAAGTCCTAGCATTTGCAGCCAATAAAAAAACCATCATTTTCAAAGGCTTGCATAGTATTTTAAACTTTATAAAAGTTTATAAAAACATACATGTTGACAAAATTAGGATTGTCCCTGAAATCTTCAATCTGATATGTATCTTCAAAGCTATAGGCACTTGCAAAAAACACTTTTATACAAGGCACTAGATTTCTCAAGGGAAAATACAGAAATACAATTTTCTTCTTCCTCATGCTTTTTTCCCCCTTCTTTGAAAAGGAGATTATACACATATACTTTTATAAAGATACAAGGGGAAAAATATGTATGTAATGAAAACAGTGATCTAAAAGCGATAAAAAAAACTATAGCTCCAGGCTGCAGGCATCTCTAACAGGAAAATATTATCTACTCTTTCCAGAAAAAAATAGCTTATATTCTGCATTTCCAATAAACACTGATAACAACAGAAAAGGGAGTTAATGAAGTACATTGACAGTAAAAGCGAAGAAAATACAATGCAAATACCTTTTAATCTAATCATTTCTTGAGATTTCACAAGATTAATCACAAAGTTTAGAAGAATGAATTTGATAATAACTTCAGATGCAAGACAACTTTTACATGAGAATGTCTCCAGATACCTTGTCAGAGCAATTTAAAACTTATTGTTACAAGCTCTCCTAAGCAAGCATAAAGATAAATAGGACTTTCACTTTTTTTCTGATGCATTATTCAATATATATTTAACTCTGAAAACAGATAATGTTTACAGCAACAGTGTAAGCCAGAAAAAAAAAAATACTTACAGATTTTTAATGTCAACTGCCCCACGGAAAGCCTTCCTTGGAATTGCCTGAATTTGGTTTTCACTGAGATCACTAAAAATGACAAAAAGGATAAAGGTCAAGTTATAAAATATTATTTAAAAATGATTTTAATCCATGTGCTTGACAAATGATAAAACACTTCTTAAAAAAAAAGCTAAAGCAATCCTAATAGGACCATAATTAAGTCTGTATCATTGGATATAATTTCTAATACAAATATTTTATATTTATAATATAAATTAAAAGGTTTAAAGAAATGGTTTCTTGAAGTATTTTTCCAGATCTTTAATTTAATAATAAATTACAAAATATGGTTCTCTTAAATTTGAGTTGATTCAATTCTGTGCAATAAACTATTTATTGAAAAACAAATAGTAAATTTGTCATCACTCAGTTTCAAGGGATTCTAAAGTTTTAGTACTTGATACTTCTCCAACATCACTGGCATAACTTACAAAGCATAAAGGAAAGAGGTCCATTTTAATATCCTAGAGAAGAGTGGCCAAAAACTGATAAAACCTGGGCAATATGATTAAGTTTTCACAACGCTTTAAGTAATCTTGAAAATGGAACATGGCAGTCCTGGCCCAACAATAAAACCAACAGTTCCTGCATAAAATATTAACAGCAGGTTGATTTAAAACCTTCTTTCAATAATTCTATTAAAACCATAAACACAGACTGTCTATATTTGCATTTTAATTTAATTGAGAAATACATTTTAATGAAAGGGAAAAAAGCACCCTTTCAGTTGGAATGAGAAGTCTGTAAAAATCACTCGTCTCATGAAATGGATCATTATTTTTTTGCTCGGAGTTCAGATGCAATTGTATGAGCTCACACAGTATTAGCCTTAACAAGTAGGATATAAATATACATGCAAAAAATATCACTGAAAACAGAAAATGCTCATCTAATTTTAAGTTAACACTACCACAAAGCAGAAAGTTGAAATACCAAATGAATAGGTTATTAAATTAACAGTGATGGTGCTAAAATTATCTTTCAAATTCTAAGATAACTGATGCTCATTAAGAAAGATGAAGCTACTAACCACGGATTCACAGCTGATGACAACAGAGCCATTTTCCAATTACGTGGAGGTATTTTGGATGGATTCATCCACATCCTCTCCCCTAACGCGTCTTTATGATCAGAGCTTTTTGTTCACTTACTTGTGACCATGCAACAGAGATAACTGGCAGATAGAGAGATTTAGAGCGTGGTCTTGACCTCATTAGCACCAAATTTTAAACACCCGAGATTTGCATTCATATCTCAACATCCACAATGTTCAAATTAAAAAAAAAATGTTTGCTAAGCAATTTGTAAAGAAATAAATGTTAGTCTATTCAAGGAGGAAAGGTCTTTTAAAAAAAAGCAAAACACACATTTTATTTCAAACAGTAAATTTACAATATGTGCTTATGTGGGAGTTAAGTCAGTCATCCATTTCTTAAGTGATGTAGCTCCGTTAACTGCTTTCAATAGTTTCAGTATATCGCTAAGAGTAATAAAACTTCATTTCCTTAAAAATTGCTTATTTCTCCAGCTTGTCATTGATTCAGACGGACTTCCTTCCCTTAATTACATCAGGTTAAGAATGTTTAACAGTGTATATTTAACAGCCTGGATGCTGGCAACTGTATTGAAAGGAAGCTATGGAGCAAGGAGAAGGTAAAGAGAGACAGTGGAGAAAGAAAAATCAGAAAGTAAGAAGAAATGAAAAGGGAAAATTATTGAAGCCAAGCAAATGTGAATCTGCCATGCCCCATTGGAAACCAACAGTAGTGATTTCACTGCTGTGTCTCCGTCAATTCTCTGTTTTTTCATCACTTGTATCTCTCTGTTTCTCCAAAGACAAAGACTGCCGTGGAGACTGTAGGTGAATAAAAATGGCAGAGATGTTTTCTTCGGACCTTGCCGGCTTTCCAAGCTCTGCAGTTTTCCCATCCAGTCAGGTGGGCCATTTCATTCGCCACCTGCAGTTTTTCTTAGGTCTTGTTCTCAATGGGGAGAGTGTGAGGTGGGAGGAAAGGTAGAGGGATGATATTAGGTGGTTCAGAAAGATATCACTGAACAGACTGGAATGCACAGTCGAAGACTATTCCTTCTAAAACGGATTTTACTAGAAGCTTCTGAGTACCATCAGCAGAATTCTAGGACATGGAACGGTTTTATACTGCTAACGCTTTTCTTTTCACGAAAGAATGAGAAACTGTCAACTGTCAATCTCAGAGTCTCTTTACTACCCTAGGTCAGTGGTTTATGTGTGGCTGTCCCCCCACCTCCTACAACTAGACTCTTCCCAGACTTATTCTACAGGGTCACTGACCAGTTCACTAGGGCAGGCAACTTCAGTTCTGGATCCCAGGCCCCTTCAGTTAAGTGGGCCATGTTCAACAATGACAGGAAAAAGAAACAACATATTTTCAGTACCTATGGTATGCAATCATTTTTTTTTTTTTAGAAATAACATATTATCACATATGATCTGTATTTCCTCTAATCCCCATAACCATCTTGACAAGTAGTTAATATTATCCTGGTTCTATAGGAAAGGAAATTATGCTTCAGAAATGTAAGCTATTAGTGCTGAAAAATGAGACAAATTGCTTGTTTTTTATATTTATTTATTTTTTGAGAGAGTGCAAGCATGGGAGGCATAGACGGGGGGGGCGGAGGATCTGAAATGGGCTTGCACTGACGGCAGTGAGGCCGATGTGGGGCTCAAACTCATGAACCATGAGATAATGACCTGAACCAAAGTCAGATGCATGACGGACTGAGCCACCCAGGTGCCCTGAGATGATTTAAGTAAATGTATAAGAAATACAGACAAATACTGAGTCAGGATTTGAAGAATTCTAGAGATGATGCAAGGGGCTACTTAATCTCAGTATGTCCTTCCTATGCCCTAAAACGTAAAAGGCTTTCCTTAACTTATCTTAGCCTCCGGTGTATATCACTTGAAAAATGATGCATTAGATTGTGTAAGAATAATGACTTACACTTTCTGTATAGAATCAGGTGGAGGTTAGCAGTTATTTTAATCCAACATATATTTATTTAATATCTACAACAGCAGCAAGGTATTGGCTGACGTTGCAAGAACTACTGAGTTGGGTAAAAGCCCATTTCCTGGCGTCAGGAATTTTCAAATTCAGTAAAGACGATAAGGCAAGTAGCCAAATAGAAGGGCAACTGAGAGATTTAAACAAACTATTGTGAGTCTGAAAAGCAAGAAAGCACAGTAAAAAAAAAAAAAAAGACAACGTGAACATATCAATATGTAAAGGCAAAGGAGCGGGAGATAGCATGTCTAGTGAAATAAAGGGCACATGCAAAATATGGAATTGAAAAAACATAAAACGTTTTATGAGAATAGCATTTGGTTTGATTTGCTTAAAAGGTACAACATACATAGTGGAGTAATAGGAGATGAGGTCCGAAAGACAAATCAAGGGTGTGATGAGTAAACTTTTTGGTAGCAATTGAGAAGTGAGTTCTTATTTCAGCACACAATGGTGGGGAGGGAAGGGTGGTAGACAAGAGCAGGGCAGAGACTCTACCTTAGATAAATTCAACTGGAAGCTGGAAGTTGGAAGACTAGATACAAGACTTCTACCCTAGTTGGGGAAAGGGTAGTAAGAATGCCAAATAGTATAAAAAACCCTTAATATATTTATCACTTGCTTACCATGGGCCAGTTAATAGCTGCACCATCTCTCCCACTGTATAGACAAAAAGCATGGAAAAGATGAAGAGTGGTATCAGGGATGCACGAAGAACCAAAACTCAGAAGTGGATTATATGTGGATATGAATTAGCCACGGGAGACAGAAGAGAAACAAGTTACTTTGAAATTATATTAAAGGTAGTGTTAATACAACTGGGAAATCAGAAGACCAATTTGCAGTGTCCATTATAAGTTTGGTTTCAGAAGTTTTTAAATCTAGTTAGAAAGATGTGATATAATGTATCACATAGTTTGGTGACAACAAAGATAGTATATGGTAGGTAAAACATGAGTGGTAACTGAGAAAGGTGATCTATAAGATCAAAGAAACCTGTCACTGGCATTTTGATGAACTCAAGCCACTTTCAAAATAGAATGGGATTGTTTTTGGGGTGTGTGAGTAGTTCTGTGGGTTATGCGTCCAACTCTTGATTTTGGCTCAGGTCATGATCTCACAGTTTCGTGAGTTCGAGCCCCACGTCAGGCTCTGTGCTGACAGTGGAGAAGCTCCTTGAGATTTTCCCTCTCACGCTGCCCCTCCCCTGCTCCCACTGTCTCTCTCTCGAAAGAAAGAAAGAAAGAAAGAAAGAAAGAAAGAGACAGAGGAAGGAAGGAAGGAAGGAAGGAAGGAAGGAAGGAAGGAAGGAAGGAAGGAAGGAAGGGAAATGGGATTGTTTTCTGAACCTTGATGAAAATGATGGAGCTTGGTAATTCTCAGCCTCTGGTGTTGGAGTAGGTGGTGGTAAGTGGTGGTTGGCAGAAATCCAAGGAGTCAGCATGTCAAAGGAATTAAGAGCATAAACTACAGACCTAGACTATCTGAGATTGATTATCTGCCATTTATTAACCATGCGCCCTTGGAGAAATTGCTTACCCTCCTGTGCCTCAGTTTCTTCATCTGCAAAATGGAATAATGATAATGCTACTTCATAGGACTGTAAGGTGAAATCAGTGAGTTCATACTTTCAAAATGCTCAAAGAGTGCTTACAAGTAGTAAGCACTATAAAGGTGTTGGTTATACACATGTTAAAATTATTCTATTCAGAGGCTGTTATGTGCCCCTGAGTGGTCTACTTTGTTCCTTGAAGACCATTGCAGGCAGTGTGAGATACTACTGATGACAGTGTATTGTTCTGTGAACTGTGTGGAATGAGAAAAATGAGTCAGAACTACTGAGTTAGCAGGATGAAGCTGCCATGGGAAGAGTTTGTAATTATATCACTAGGCAGTAGGGTGTAAAAATGTGTTTCAGAGTTGGAAAATGGCTTGAGTGGAGTTGATTTTTAGGAAGATTAATCTGGAAATAGAATT